GGATTTGTGATCTGGCTGTGTACACATGGGAGAGCAGAGAAAATGGTGATAAACATGCCCTGATTCCTGGAGCTCCTTCCTGGGACACAAACCAGAGAGGGCAGCTCAGGGTGAGGCTCCATTCCCATTTCCTGGCTTTAGGAATTTCTCTGAGTAGGTTTGGAGGAGCCCCATTCCCATTTCCTGGCTTTAGGAATTTCTCTGAGTAGGTTTGGAGGAGCCCCATTCCCATTTCCTGCCTTTAGGGAATTTTTTTTAATAGATTTGCAGCAGCCCCATTCCCATATCCTGCCTTTAGGGAACTTTCCTGAGTAGGTTTGGAGGAGCCCCATTCCCATTTCCTGGCTTTAGGGAATTTTCCAAATAGGTTTGTGCCCTTTTTTTAATTTTTGTTTTGAAATTATTTCACAAGAGCCCAGTCATGACATTGGGATGATCAGTCTTTGTGCTACAGTAGACAGGATGGTAAAACTTTGCAAGTATACTTTTGTTTTGGGAAAAATAAAATAACAGAATACATTTTTTTGCCCTTTGGAATGTTTATTCTCAGAAGCAAAGAGCTTTTAAAAATTATCCTCTAGAGAGAAGACAATATGCCAGAATATTTAATGTTCTAGCATTAGTGGATGCTAACAGCACAAAACTTATTTTCTTTTTTTTCTCTTTCCTTAACAAGCTCTTCAGCATTTCAAACAATAGTGAATGAGGCCTTTGAGTAACATAAATTTTTGTTTGTTTTTCCAGGTCTATAAAGGTGAATTTCAGCTTCCTGACTTCCTCAGAGAAGTGCCACAGGTACAGTATGGAATTCATTTCCTTTTTGTGGGTGTAGCAGCAAAGGATATCAAACAGCCTTTATTTTATAAACCACTTCTTCATGAGCCTGATTTTCTGATTGATGGTGAGATTTGCTGATTACCCATGAGGTGGAATCTTGAACTCAGCATCCCAAACCTCTCCTGAATCCGTGTGTAACTCCAGGGTGAAGAGTGGTGTTTGTCACCCTGAGCTGCCTCAATATTGCTGTGAAATGGAAGGAAAAATTGAGCCTCTTTTGTGGACCAAACTGCAAAGTTTGTTACTTCTAGAGGAGCTTTATCTTTTCTTATCTTGGTTTAAAGCAAGTCTAGTCCAGAGGGCAGGGTTATAAATACTGAGAGATTTTTAAAATAAATAGAGATGTTATCAGAGTCAACAAACCCAGCCATGGATAGGGGTGGTGTTGATTTAATAGTGTGCTATGGAACTTGAGGTTTTACTGAAAATTCACAACTGAAAATTCACAGCCCCAACTGCTGTTCTTTGTAATCAGCTCCTTAAGGGATCTACCAAAAAAAAAAAAAAAAAAACCAACAAAGAAAAACCCTTATTGTGAAGCTCTCAAACTGCAGGATCTTGTTGATATCACAGAATTGTAAAATCCCAGAATGATTTGGGTTGAAGGGACCTTAAAAATAATTTTTTCCACCCCCTGCCATGGACAAGGACAACTTCCACTATCCCAGGTTGCTCCAAGCCCTGTCCAACCTAGCCTTGAACATTTCCAGGGATTGAACAGGTTAAAAATACTCAGGAATCTATCACAGACAAAGCATTTTAACTTCTCCATTTCTTCAAATAAAAATCATTTGATTAAAAAGGAAAACTGATTTCTTTTGTTCCAGCCAAAGAAGACAGTAGAAAGGAAGTCTCGTGGCAAGATAAAATGAACGCGGAGCAGTAAAGAGGCATAGCTGTAGTGTGTGTTTCATGTTTTCAGAAAATAACCCTGCTGTGGCCACCAAACCTTTCTGAGCAGCCTTTGTGTGATCTCTAACGTGGGCTTGGCTTTCCCTGGCTCTTTGCCTGCTTGGATCACTCAGTGCTCCTGCTTTGCTCAGCTCTGGAGAACCATCCCAGCCCTGTTGCTGCAGCCTTGTCCCTGTCACTGAGTGTCTGCTCCATGTGTGCTGCTCAATTCTCAGGAGCTGCTGGGGTCACTTCCACGTGGGGTTGCTGCTGGGATTGCAGGATTAGCTGCAGCAATGGGATGTGCTTTACCAGGAGGGGAAATACTGCTGAGAGGGATTGATGGAAAATGCAGGGAGATCCTTCAGAATTGAGCACATCATGTATAGATAGTGTGCTAGCAAAAAAAAAATCCTTGATTTTGAATAAATCCTGGGTTAAATCCTTTAAATCCTTGTTTGCATACTGTATCAGTGGTTTTCAGTTATCCTGGGGTACCCAAAACCACTCTGGTAAATTCCTTCTTCACTCCACAGGATAGGGAGGTTCCTGCTAAATCCCAGGAGGTGAAGTTATACAATTAGCTTGGTTTAAATACAGTATTTACCAAAATCTGAGGAGATTTATCCATAGCAAAGACAGACCATCCAAAAGACAAAAAGAAGCACTGTGGAAGAGTAAAAGAATATTCCTTAAACCATAAAAACCTGATCAAATTGTTGCTGGTAGTGTTCTCCTTTAGTATTAACATAATGTAACTGAAGAGCTCAAAGGTTTGGAGAACAGACATTGGTACTGATATTTTTTCCTCTAATGTAAAATAGCTAATTTCATTTTAATTATTTTTTTGACAGACTGAACCTATGGAATAGAAGATAAAATGGACATTTCTTGCACAGAAGGTATTAAAAGAGCATTGCAGTTCTGCTCATTTGTTGTTCTTAGTTCAAGATGATTTTTGTTTAACTTCTGTAACTCCACGGGTAAGATAAATATGAAGTTATGTTTTTTAAAGGAAGCTGCTAAAGAAGAGCTGGTTTGTGATATTTAACATCTCACAGCCAGTATTTTCAAAAAGCTGCATTTTAGTCACTGAATCAACAGTGACAAAATTTTGCAGGGAGCTGAGTACATTCCTGTCCAGTTAAGGAATGAGTGATACAAGATTTCCTGTGTTAATCCAGGATTTTTCTGCTATCAGATGTTCTGACAACAAAAGATGGCAAAATTTAAATCCAGTTTAAAAATAGCCCAAAGCAGTGTGCCCTACAAATATCCCCAAAATAGATTCTTATGTGGCCATAAATATAAACACCCTAAATATAGCCAAAAGCACTGCTCTGTGTAGAAATAATGGCTCTAAAATCTTCCCAGAGATGAATTACAGACCTTGACTGTGAAATCAATAGAGAAACCATCATCTGTTCACACAGTCAATTTAAAATAATGAAAGCATCAACCTCACTTTGCCACTTAGCTCTGAAAAATGAGTTTCAACCTGCAATATTTCTGTCTGAAGAAACCAAACTGGGAACTTCCCAGCATAACTTCCCCCTGGGTCACAAGGCTTTGGGATGTCAGTGGAAAATCAATATATATATATATTTTTTACACCATGCTGCAAGCAGTGTTTCTAATTATAAAGGAGGGACAAAGCAGCTCCATTCCTTACAATGGGATTTGTCCTGGCAGTGATTTCCACCTGCTGAGACAACAGTGGCTACTCTTAATTCTGCAATATTTGTAATTCCAAAATGCTGTCCAGCATATATTCAGCTATAATATATTCAGCTATATATATTCAGCTATAAAAAGCTGAATATCACCAGGAAATATTCCAATATAACTTTATTTCTTTTTCCTTAGAAGATCAGCTGCTGCCTTTTCCATGGGAAGGATCCCTCAGGCCTGTCCCCCTGGCATCAGAGATGTGCTGCTCTTGGCCTGCTCTCTTCAGAATGTTCTCTCCTCTTTCTTTCATCTGTTTTTGTTCCAAATTTTGCTGTTGTGAGCGCATGTAAACCTGTTAAAAAACAAAAAAAATCACAGATGTTAATGTAGAACTGCATTACATTCGCACAATTATTTTTTTTAAGGTTTTAAAAAATGCAGAAGCAATGCCTGTCTCTGAAATTGCTCCTCTGTTTTAATTACAGGGCTCCATCTTCAGATTTTTTTTTTTGTTTCTTGTAGCAGTTTGGTTTTAAATGTACAAAGCTTTCAAGAGTGGTCTGTGCTTGTCCTGAAAGATTCTTGGTGGAAAACTTATTTGTTTTATTCATATGTGAAAAATGTTAAATATCTTTTATTTAAAAAGAAAAAAAAGTTGATAAATTACATGTACAATTACAATTCAATGATCTTTTGTATTTTATTTTTCAAAATAAATGCTTTAAATGTGATTTTTTGTTTATTTATTTCTTAATTAATGGTCTTGTTTCCAACTTAAGATTTAAATAATTCAAGATATTGATGGTTTAGTAATAATTCAAGATATTGATGTGAGGGAAGATATGCCATCATGGGTTTGGATCTTATTTGAAGGTTTGCAATTTAATGGTTTTTGCTTTTAATAGCTCGGTGATGAAGGAATTGTAAATCGGAGTGTCCCACTGAGAGGTGTAAGATTTGTTTGAGATTTGTTTGCTGCAGGTAGAAGTAGGTAATATTAGACTCTTGAATTTTTTTCCTTAACAGCAATTTTGTTCAGAGATGCTCTGCTGGGGGAAAACTGCTGTGAGTTGTATCCTAAAGTTTCGATCTTTAGGATACAACGTGGAACATGATTATTCCATGAGTTATTTTTGGGATGGTTGTTGTGGGTCAGTTTCTGTTCCCCTCGCTGGTTCAGGGCCATGAAGGCGGTTTCAGCCTTCCCCAGTGGTTTGGAGAGGAGTTGGTGCCAAAACATTTGTATTTCCTCGCATTGTGGATGTGACAGAGTTCTGCTTTTCCTCCGTTTCTCCATTTCTCGTGTGTGGCGATGACAAACCCGCAGTGCCGTGAGGAAGGGCGGGCGATCCCCGCGCTCCTGGTGCCGCCTGAGGGCAGCGCGGGCCCGCTGCTCCCGAGGCCGCTCCTTCCCCCGCTCCTTCCCCCGTTCATACCCGGCGCTTCCCCGGAGCCGCCCGGGATCGCCCCGGTGCCGCCGCCGGGGCGGCTCCTCCCGCCGGGACCCGGATGGGCCCGTACGTGACGCGGGGGCGCGGCCGCTCCCCCGGGCCGGAGCGGAGCGGAGCGGCGGCCGCGGGCAGGCAGGAGGTGAGCGCGGGCGGGGACAGCCGGCCCCGCTGCCCTCAGCCCTCCCTCATCCCCTCCACCCCCGGCGGGGCTCCGCTACCGACCCGCGGCAGGTGAGGGAGCGCCGGGGAGGCCGCGGGGCTGGAGGGGTGAGGGGAGCGGAGGGACCGCGGCCGGGGCAGCCCCTCGCGAGCGGTGCTGCCGGTCAGGCTGTGTCACCCTGGCAATGTGAGAGTTAATTTTTAATTAGTTATGAATGAATTGTTGGTTATTTGCCTGAGTGTTGGCGTGCCCGCCGCCTGGTTTGTGCTGCCCCTGTGGTGATGCCTGTGCTGCTGCAGCTGTCAGGCGGCTCCGAGCTTCCGAGCTCTGAGAGCTGCGTGATTCCGTGAGGGGCAGTGGCAGTGAGAGCAGCCCCGGTGTTCTCAAAGCTGTGGGATTCCGTGAGGGACAATGGCAGTGAGAGCAGCCCCGGTGTTCTCAAAGCTGTGGGATTCCGTGAGGGGCAGTGCCAGCCCTGCTGTCCTGAGAGCTCTGGGATTCTGTGAGGGGCAGTGGCAGCGCCAGCGAGGGCAGACGTAGTGACCTGAGAGTTCTGGGATTCCATGAGGGGCAGTGGCAGCCCCGGTGTCCTCAGAGCTGTGGGATTCTGTGAGGGGCAGTGGCAGTGCCCAGCACCAGCGAGGGCACCCCCGGTGTTCTCAAAGCTGTGGGATTCCATGAGGGGCAGTGCCAGCCCCGGTATCCTGAGATCTCTGGGATTCCATGAGGGGCAGTGCCAGCACCCATGAGTGCAGCCCCTCTGTCCTTCACCATGGTCATTCCAGCCAAGTGTCCCTTCTGTCCTGCAGTATCACTGGGATGGACACTCCCATTCTGCCCATCCCTACAGCTGTCTTTGCTCTCAGCTGTAAAGTTGAGTTACACAGCCCTTTCATCATACTCTGTGGTGTTTGTGACTATGATGCTGGGATTTTACAGTCCAGTTTATTGCCCCTCTTCCAGGATGTTTCTTTGACACAGATTCATTGGAATTTACTGGATGTTGTGTCTTTTCCCTCTGTGCTCACACAAACCTTACAATCATCTGTGTCTCTTGAAGTTGGTGATGCAGACACTGCTAAATCAGGTCTCATCTACCCCAGTTTCTCATTAAAAGGGGGGAGCCTTCTAAATTCTCATAAAAGCCCACCCCAAAGAGTTACCTTTGAACAGGAGTTTGTGTGGGGCTCCTGTGATGTTCATCAGAACCTTGATAGAAAAGTCTTTGACTGTATAACCAATATGTCATTTTTTTGTTGGTATGTAACTTTATTGGGTTTGTAACTTTGCCAACACTGGTGCAGAAGGTATTTAAGAAAATACCTCAGAAGGTATTTCAGAAAAAGTTGTTTAAAGCAATATGGAGAAGTTGAGAGAAGAGCGGAGCCTTGAAAAGCTTTTATAAATCTCAGCATCAAGCCCAGTTCAAAGGTTGCTGTCATTCTCTGGGGAATGAAGGCAAACTGGCAGGGCCAGCTCATTTACTGAGCTGTCCCCAACAAAGTTCCAGGAAGCAATCCCTGCTTTTAAATGACAGGTGGAAGGACTGGAAGGAGGCATTTCTGGTAGAGTTGGATGCTGCTGATGTGATATTTGATTTAATGATAATTTTATTTATGGGTGATGTTTTCTGTTGATCTAGACCTAGATGTATTTGAAAGTGAAATGGAGGCATTTGCTTAGTTTAAATAAATAAATTCTGTAAATTTAATGAGAGATTTAACAAGGGAATACTTCTGCACATAGTTTAAAATAATTATTGCAGGTGCTTTGAGTGCAAAGAAAAGGATCAGCCCAGGTTTGGATGGGGCTTGGAGCAGCCTGGTCTGTGGACATGGCAGGGGGGTGGAACTGGATGATCCTTAAGGTCCAGTTCAACCCAGATTGTTGTGGGGTTCAGGTGGGTGTGTTTTCCTCATGAAATGTGATTAACTTGTGGTTTTCTTTCAGGAGGACTCTGCTCCTGTCAGCACAGCTCTGTTTCACTGCTCTCTGGGTGAACAGGTGAAGCCAGCCCAGAGAGGGACCTCACTCACCTTTTAATGAACATCAGAAAACAGGTTCAGCTGGTCACTCATTGATCTTTTTATTGCCACTCCTGGTTGTCCAAATCCTGCTCTCATCATGGCCTAAGCCTCATTATTGAGGGCTTGTTCTGTGTGGATGTTCCAATGGCACTGAAGGTTGGTATCCTGAGCACAACACAATTATTGCTGTCTCATGGCTTTTTTTTAAACCTTAGTGTCAGATTGAAGAAGATTATGAAAGAGGGAGAAAAATCTCTTTCTCTTCTCTTTTCCTCTAGCTCTGTTAGGAAAGAGACCTTTTTGGTGCAGTGCCAAATGGATGAACTTACCCCAAAACCCATTCCGTGGTCAATAATACTGACATAGTTAATGGAGTGAATGTTGTTTATTCACACTAAACTCCATTTAGTGAAATCTGTGGGGCATCCTTGAAAAATGCAGACCAAGAACACATTTTTGGTCAATCTTTTGTTCTTTTGAGTACTCTAAGGAGAACTAGAAATAGCAGCCAAAGCACTGGTGTCAAGTGGCAGCTTTATAAATAATACTTTCACAGTAAATACATGCTCACCCTCAATTTTTGACTGTGCATCTTGTAAATGCTGATCTGTAAGCTTTTCTGGCTGATAATTTGTTTACTTCCTTAAAGGAATCCCTAGCAAAAGAATCTTTAATTTATTTTGAGTCTATTTTTTTGTCTGTGAGGCATAGTTGAGTTGTTTGGATAACTGATGATGTCAGAATAAATGTTCTTTTAGGACAAATATTAAAATTGTTAATAGGGTGTGGCCCTTCAGAAGCTCTTCCATCCTTATTTATCTGCCTGTGCATTGGGCTGGGGTGGAAAAATGATTCTGAACTGTAGAGAAAAGAGAAATGAAATCTCTCTCTGAGCTGAGCCAACCCTCTTAATGATGTTTGGAACTTCACAGTAGCTACTTATCTGTATTTATTAGGGTGTTAAACAGGATCTAGGATTCATCTGCAAATTTTGTGGACACCCCCACAGAATGTGGAGATTTTCAGGAGATGTGGAGATGATCCTGTCTCCATGAAGTTCCTGTTTTGTTCAGGAGCATCCCAGCTCTGTCTGGGTTCCCTCTGAACTCAATATTTCCTTTAAGAGCTGAGATCTAACAGTGTGCACAATGACTGTTAGCACCATTATTAAGGCAGGTTTTCAAAAATTTTATGTCATTTTTTCTTCCTGATTTTGAAGGGAAGCATCCTTAAGTTAATAAATAAATGTGCCAGATGTGCTTGTACAAATAATCCTCCTCTTTCTGTGTTTTATAGTGGTTTGAGAGAAGGTTTGGAGGTGGAGAAAGCCTCTGGTGGTGGAATGTCTTTGTTAGGGAGTAGCGGTGCTGCTGGAGAACAGGGATTTTACATAACGCAGTGTAAGGAGAGCAGCGGGCTCCCCTTTGAATTATTTTATGGTGCAGTCTGTCCGTGCATCCCATTCTCCTGCTGAGGATGGGCTGAGAAACCTCGAAGTGTTAAATTCAGATGATAATTAGCAGCGTACTAAGGAGAGAAATATTCGCGTCTCACATCCCGTGTGTGCTGTGAGAGTTCAATATTCGTGTCTCACATCCCGTGTATGCTGTGAGAGTTAAATATTCGTGTCTCACATCCCGTGTATGCTGTGAGAGTTAAATATTCGTGTCTCACATCCCGTGTATGCTGTGAGAGTTCAATATTCGTGTCTCACACGCGTGTGTGCTGTGAGAGTTCAATATTCGTGTCTCACACGCGTGTGTGCTGTGAGTTAAATATTCGTGTCTCACATCCCGTGTGTGCTGTGATGCAGCGGGCAGGGAACGCCTGCTGTCCCCGGCTGCAGAGCGATCCCGCTTTTCCCATTCCCAGGGAATTCCAGAGCCCTCCCCGTGCCCGGCTGAAGGTGACAGACGAGCCGGGTGTCGCCAATGTGGCACGGACGCGTCCCCGCATCCCGCCCCTGGCAGGGCCGTGTTCCTTCATCCCGCCCCTGGCGAGGGACAGGCTGGGACAGCGGCCACCCAAATCCTCGCAGCAAATGACATTTTCCTGCAAAGCCGCGCCGGAGCCAATCGCTCCCTGCACCGCGCAGCCAATGGATGCCGGGCTCTTCCAGCCCCTGCCAGCGGCTCGCGGCTGGAGGGCCTCGCAGCAGCTGTGCCCGCAGCCTCTCCGGGGGTGCCCGGCATCCCTGCTCATCCCTGCTCCTCCTCATCCTCATCCCTCTCCCGGCAATAACGCCGCCGCTGCTGTGGGAGCGCTCGGGGTGACGCGGCCGCTGCGGGGAGCGCGCAGCCATTGGGGTAATCCGGGTTGGATTAATTTGGGTCTCCCTTCAGCAGTGCCACGGCCTCCTACCCGGCAGAGCTGCTCCCCAGAGCCAGAGGGATGGTGGTAGTCACGGGGCAGAGCAAAGCGAGTGCCACCCCGGATGATGCCATGTCGAGCTCGGATGCAGAGGATGATTTCCAAGAGCCGGCCACTCCCACCGCCACCCAGGCAGGACAAGCGCTACCTCTGCTGCCCCAGCAGGTAAGAGCTCACCTGGGACGGGCATGATCGCGGCAGCGCAGACTGCTCAGCTGCTGAGGAATTCAGGATTTGAATAAAACTCAGTCTCTTGAATGTATTTGAGTAGCTCGGCAGCTTTACTTACAAGTTCCATCCAGGTTTGGATGGAGACATGCAGTTTAGTGTTTATTCTGGTCCTTAAGGCAGCCTGGGATGTGATAGTAAGATTTAGGCCTGATGTAAACAAATGCAAATTTTTTTTTCAGTGTATAATATAGTCTGGTTGTGTAAAGGAACCAGCAGAGTGCAAGTCCCCAGGCTGGCCTGAGATTTCTTCCCTTTTTTTTTTTTTTCCTCTCTGTGTAAGACTGGGAAAGAGGTTTTGTTTTGTTTCCTTTTCCCAAAAGAGCCAAGACAGAAGGCATTAATATCTCAAATATCTGCTATTCCAGCTGAGCGATTTCTGCTGTTTCAGATTCCCAGCTACAATTAAACCACTCCCCGATTCCCCCCAGCAGCCAAACATCCAAATTTTCACCCCTCAGAGCTCCCTGATCCGTGGCAGTGGGGCAGGAACCACACATTGACAAACTGCAGGTGCCTTTTGGCAGCTCCTCTCTGATGTCCTGGTTGCTTTTGCAGTTCCCAGAAGTTGTCCCTCTGAACGTGGGGGGGATGTTCTTCACCACCAGACTGTCGACGCTGCGCAGGTACGAGGACACCATGCTGGCAGCCATGTTCAGTGGCAGGCACTACATCCCCACAGATGCTGAGGGCAGGTACTTCATCGACAGGGATGGCACCTACTTCGGGTATGTGCTGTGCTTTTATACTTTGTAATACTTTGTAATAGTTTGGTTTTGTATCCCAGTAGTTTTCCCAAATGGTTTACCCCAGATTGTACCCCCTCCCTTTACCTGTGTAATCCCTTTCCCATCCCCAAATCAACACCCTGGCTCTCTGTCAGTCACTCAGCATCCCATCCCCTCCATCTAGAACTTTCTGTCCAGGACATGAAGTGATTGGCCAGAGGCCAGGGGTCAGCCCCCCAAGTGTTTCCCCATACACTGACCTAAATGTCCATTTCCCAGTATCCATCCCTTAATTTCTCTTATTGATCAGTAAATGTTATCTGCTTTAGGTTTCCACCTTTCTTTAAATGTAACTCAGCATCCCATCCCCTCCATCTAGAACTTTCTGTCCAGGACAATGAGTGATTAGCCAGAGGTCAGGAATCAACCCCCCAAGTGTTTCTCCATACACTGACTTAAATGTCCACTTCCCAGTATCCATACCTTAATTTTTCTTATTGATCAGTAAATGTTATCTACTTTCCACCTCCCTTTAAATGTAACCTTTTAAACTTGTTTTTAACAGTTCTTTTCCCTAAAGTGCAGCATTTAACATTGCACACCTTCAAAGTATCACAGGATGTAGTTAAAATTCTTTGTGCAATGGGAGAAGAAAAACAATAAATGGTTTAGATTTCTGCATTGTCTCCCCTAGAGTATCTCCTTGAATTTGTGCATTGTCTCCCCTAGAGTGTCTCCTTTCAAGGTATCAAGTTGTTTGGGTGGTTTAAAGAAGTGTTTGGAAATAGGAAACTCCTTGCACAACACTGGGTTTTAATTGATATTCAGTACCTGTAAGGAACAGGGAATGGAAGGAATTAATCTAGGATTCTTATACAGTTGAAAATGTGATGTTTTCAATCTTTAAATGGGATATAACTGCTAAAATAAAGTACAGGCCTTTAAAGAATTTATTTTTCTAAATTATTTTTGTTGGTAGTGCCATATTCCTTTACCTCCAGGATTCCTTCCTTCCTGCTCAGCTTTTATTTTATTTTTAATTAAACTAACCATGATTACTAATGCTGTGTTTGAGCTGGGGTGAGATTGCTAAGAAAGGTGATCAGTGTTCATGGGTTCAGGTTTTTGCCCAAAGCACACATTGCAATTTATCCCAAATTTCTTGTTGCTCCTTTATAGACATTTCCTTATTGCCGTCAACAGAGGAGCTTTGAATTATTTTCAAAGCACTTTTGGGTTGTACCATAATCTGGGACAGAGGTAGATTAAACCACTGTGTTTATTCTAAAATAATTTGTAACTTTACATGAGGCAATTGTTGGAAAACCAATTAATTTGTGATGTTATCAACCTCACTGAAAATACAGCTGGAACAGAGAGCCAGGTTAGCAGGTGCTGTATTTGTTGTCATTCTAAGATTGTAGTAATGCTTTTTAATTTGATAAGGTTTTCTTGGTTAACACTTATAAAGTGATTTTTTTGTTTATTTGATAAGGGTTGCGTTGGTTAAAACTTATAAAGTGATTTTTCTCTCTGTCAAAAGATCCTGTTGCTGAACAGTGTTTCAAAACTAGAGGGAAATGTTCTCTGTCTTTTTAAAAAATTCTGATTATTGTTCTGGAAATGGCCCTGATCTGTGATGAGAAACCTTTGCAGATGTCCCATCCGTTCAGCTGGATCTGTGTGGAATAAAATGTCCATGAAAATGATTCTCTGGGAAAATGCAGAAGTTTATTTTGTCCCAGACCTAAATTTGAAATGCAGTGACCACAATTTCTTTCCCATGAAACACTCTGGCCTCTTCTGTGTTATAAATGGTTTCCTCCACAATGATTGTTTGGTTTAAAATCCACTGATATTTCTTCAAATGAGTTTTGACATCAGCTGAGGCAAAATGTGAAATAATGGCTTGGAAAGCTGAACGTGGCAAACGGTTTTACAAACAAATGTTGGGAATAAGGCTCATTTATCTCAGTTACTGTCTCAATAGAGCAAACAGTGAATATCCAGCATTTCCTGTCCTTTCCCACCTGCAGCAGTTTTGGCAGAAATGTGTTTGTTAATGATATTTTTGCTCTTTTTTTTCAGAGACATACTAAACTTCCTACGGTCGGGTGAGCTGCCCCCCCGAGAGCGAGTGAGGTCAGTGTACAAGGAGGCTCAGTATTATTCCATAGGACCCTTGCTAGACAATCTAGAGGATATCCAGCCTCTTAAAGGAGAAAAAGTTAGACAAGCTTTCCTGGGCCTAATGCCATATTACAAAGGTAAATAAACAAAGTAGCACTGACTGTTTCTTCTGGTGGGATTGCAGTGTTAAACCTCTGCTTTCATTCTGCTCTCAGCTCCCAGACTGATCCCATTGCAGCTGGGAAGTTTATTCTGTATTTTTTATGCTGTTTAGATCTTTGAGGGCTCCACATCCTGTTGCATCCCAGGGTGTGGATTTGTGTGCTTAGAGGGGAGCAAGGTTAGGCTGAAATGTTATCAAATCAGTGGGTTTGTCTGCATTTGTTCTGTCAGGACTTGCAAGTGAATAAACTTGGCCTTGTAGTGAGGCCAGATAACTTGGGCATGTAATAAGGCCATCAAGCTCACCAGAAAACTGAAATTTATTTGATTATTCTATACATTATATAATTATTTTATATATATATATATATAAATATATAATATATATACTATATATACTATATTATATATATAATACATATAATTATGTATTAATATATATATTTTATATAATAAGGCCACCAGGCTCACCAGATAACTGAGAGTGATTTGATTATTCTGGATTTTATATAATTATATTATGTATATAATTTAATATATATTTTATATATTAATTTATGCATTTTTAATATAATAAGGCCACCAAGCTCACCAGATAACTGAGATTGATTTCATTATTCTATATTTTATATAATTATATAATGTATATAATTTAATATATATTTTCTATATGGTTATATAATATATTAATTTATATATTTTTAATATAATAAGGCCACCAAGCTCACCAGATAACCGAGATTGATTTGATTATTCTAGACTCTATATAATTATATAATGTATATAATTTAATATATATTTTCTATATAACTATATATTATTTATTTTTAATGTAATAAGGCCACCAATCTCACCAGATAATTGAGATTGATTTGATTATTCTATATTTTATTTTCTATATATTATACAATATATAATATTATATTTTTATTGTTTATAATTATTATATTTACTTATATATCAAATAGAATAGAATAGAATAGAATAATTGTGTAATTAAATAAATATTAATTTATATATATTTTTAATATTATAAGGCCACCAAGCTCTACAGATAACGAGATTGGTTTGATTATTCTATATTTTATTATATATATTATACAATATATAATATTATATTTTTTGTTATTTATAATTATTATATGTACTTAGAATAGAATAGAATAGAATAGAATGATTGTGTAATTATATATGGATTTATATATATTTTTAATATAATAAGGCCACCAAGCTCATCAGATAACCGAGACTGATTTGATTATTCTAGATTTTATATAATTATATAATGTATATAATTTAATATATATTTTATATATGATTATATAATATATTAATTTATTTATTTTTTAATATAATAAAGCCACCAATCTCAGCAGATAGAGATTGACTTGATCATTCTATATTTTATTCTTCATATATTATACAATATATAATATTATATTTTTATTATTTATAATTATTAAATGTACTTAGAATAGAATAGAATAGAATGATTGTGTAATTATATAATATATTAATTTATATATATTTTTAATATAATAAGGCCACCAAGCTCGCCAGATAACGAGATTGGTTTGATTATTCTATACTTTGCTACATGCTGCTGATATGCTGCTGATATGCTGTAGTGAAACGTTTCACATGAAATAATTGCTTTTGATCTCTTTCCCTTGCCCTTCCTTGGGACCCTCCCTCCCTCCCTTTGCAGACCACCTGGAGCGGATCATCGAGATCGCCAAGCTGCGGGCCATGCAGAGGAAGGCCAGGTTTGCCAAGCTCAAGGTGTGCGTGTTCAAGGAGGAGATGCCCATCACCCCCTACGAGTGCCCCCACTTCAACTCCCTGCGCTTCGAGCGCAGCGAGAGCGAGGCCAAGCTCTTCGAGCACCACTGCGAGGTGGACGTGTCCTTCGGGCCCTGGGAGGCCGTGGCCGACGTCTACGACCTCCTGCACTGCATCGTCAGCGACCTGTCGGCGCGCGGCATCACCGTGGAGCACCAGTGCATCGGCGTCTGCGACAAGCACCTCATCAACCACTACTACTGCAAGCGCCCCATCTACGAGTTCAAGATCACCTGGTGGTGACCGGGGGCACAGAGAAGGGTCAGGGGACTGCCACGGGACAAATGTGCTTTCAGGGTCACCTGGTGGTGGCACATCGAGGGGTGAGAGGACTTCTAGAGGACAAATGTTCTTTCAAGATCATTGGTGGCAAGTTGTGGTGGCACTGAGGGCTCCTAAAGGACAAATGTTCTTTCAAGATTGCCTTGTGGTGAGTGGGGTGACACTGAGGGGTGAGAGGACTCCTAAAGGACAAATGTTCTTTCACCATCGCCTTGTGGTGGCACTGAGGGCTCCTAAAGGACAAATGTTCTTTCAAGATCACCTTGTGGTGAGTGTGCTGACACATCAAGGAGTGAAAGGACTTCTAGAGGATAAATGTTCTTTCAAGATCATCTAGTGGTGAGTTGTGGTGGCACTGAGGGGTGAAAGGATCCTAAAGGACAAATGTTCTTTCACCATTGCCTTGGGGTGAGTGTGGTGGCACTGAGGGGTGAGAGAACTCCTAAAGGACAAATGTTCTTACAACATCACCTTGTGGTGGCACTGAGGGGTGAAAGGATCTTAAAGGACAAATGTTCTTCCAAGATCATCTGTTGGTGAGTGTGGTGGCACTGAGGGGTGAAAGGACTTCTGAAGGACAAATGTTTTTCAAGATCGCCTTGTGGTAAGTGTGATGACACATCAAGGAGTGAAAGGACTTCTGGAGGACAAATGTTCTTTCAAGATCATCTAGTGGTGAGTTGTAGTGGCAGAGCAAGGGGTGAAAGGATTCCCAAAGGACAAATGTTCTTCCAACATCGTCTTGTGGCAGACTGAGGGGTGAAAGGATCCTAAAGGACAAATGTTCTTTCAAAGTCACCTTGTGCTGAGTGTGGTGGCAGAGCAAGGTGTGAAAGAAATTCTAGAGGACAAATTTTCTTTCAAAGTCACCTTGTGGTGAGTGTGGTGGCATAGCAAAAGGTGAAAGGACTTCTAAAAGACAAATGTTCTTTCAAGATCATCTGGTGAGTTGTGGTGGCAGAGCAAGAGGCAAAAGGACTTCTAAAGGACAAATGTTCTTTCAAGATAATCTTGTGGTGAGTGAGGTGGCACATTGAGGGGTGAAAGGACTTCTTGAGGACATCAAGATCACCTGGTGATGAGTGTGGTGGCACTTACAGGACAAATGTTCTCGGCAGTTTCCTTGCTGCTCACATTCCTTGGGATCAGCCTGCTGGCAGGGGTTGGGAAAACCTCTGGAAACTTGACAAACCAGCCTGAACTCAGACTGTTGGCTCAGGTACCTTAACGAGGCACAAAACAAAATCACCTCATGCAAAGGATGGAGGGGAGTGGCTGAACATCTGCTCAAAGGTGCCACCAACCACGTGGCTTCAGGATGGAATTGCAGATTTTTCCTGCATTTTTGGGAATCTGGGGTGCTACTAAAGCTGACGTTTCAGTTTTACCCTCTTGGAAATGTTTTAGTTCCTCCTTCAGCTTTATAAAGTTTGAGTCACACCCAACACAAAGATCTGGAAATGTCATTTTGATGTACTAGATAATTTAAAAAAAAAGGAATATTCCTTATATATAATTAATTGTTGTCAGGGTTAAGCTGTATTTCTTTTTTAATTAAGAATCTACGTTGTGAATTATAATGTTGTACTTCAATTATTTCTGTTGTTATCAAAAGGAATAGCAGATCTGGAATATATTCCTTAACGCTTTTAGGAATAATAACTGTTCATGGAAGACTTGTGCCTGTTTTTAGCCTTAGAAATTTTAAATGTTTACAATATCTACAAAAAAAAAAAAGCTCTTTAGAATCAGGTCATTTGCAAAGGCTTTTGGTAAATGAGAAAACCCTGTCTGTATGTTCCTATTAGCAGTAGTAGGAGGAATATTTAATGTATATTATTTTATTACTGATTCTTTTTACATTCTGTGATATTAAACTTTATTTTAGACTTAAAGTCAGATGATATTAGACAAGTGCTTCCTTCACCTCACCTTTTTCAGTCAATTAAATCTTAATTTTATCCTTCTTCTTGACCCTTCTTGGTGTCATAGAAGGAAAAACAAAATTCAAACTTCATATTCAAATACTTCTCCACTCTAAAGCAGTAGGAAATTCCTTTCCATGCTGGAAGAGGCAGCCACCACAGAATCATATTTTTTTCATTTTTGTACTTCCGACATGAGCAACCACATCCCAAATTTCAACTACTGAATTCAGCCCAAAACTGAAAGGGAGAAAAGTCTGAATATCTTATTGTTTTGTGAGGTACAGAAAACCCCAACCCCCTTGAAGTGGCTTCAAAATAATCTTGAAGAGAAAGAAAAAGGAAATATTTGTATATTGCATTCCATTGGATTAATTAAAAATCAGCTAATTACTGATATAATTAAAGGTTTTGTAGCTTCATTTTACCCTGGACAATTTATAGACCCCACTGGCTTTAAGTGGTTAGCATTACTGAGCCCTGAAGATTTTTAGGTTTTCACACACTGCACAGAGAACCCAAGATAGTTCTAAATTTTGGGCTATGAAAAAAAAAATCCCTCCAGTCTTTGATTACCTTTCTGCAAATAAGCAGATTTCAGAGGATAATTCTATCTCCTGTATATAATTCTCTAACTGGAAATCACTTTCCAGAACAGCAGTTCATAGTTCATTTTACTTACACGAGCTTAGGATAAGTTTACCTCCACTTTCACTGTGACTTTTCTAAATGGATTTTGTTTTGCTGAATTATAAATTGTATGTGTCTATGCATTGTAACCCGTAATGCCTTTGAAAATCCAGCCTGGATGCTAATGATCAGGGTTTGGAATTCTCTCCAAATGTGTTTTGTTAATAATTATGTTGATGTGTGATGTTCAATACTGTGAGTACTGCAGTGTATTATTTCTTAATACTTTTGACTTTTCAGTTCAGGTAATATATAATCTGTATGTTTTTTATTTAAAACACATAGAAGAAAACATGGATATAAAGGTTGTGTTGTGCAATAAATTATGATACTGAAAATTTGGAATTCTGGCTCATCTGGTCTGCAGCCACTGCTGTGTTTTTCCTCCCTTTCCCTGGGATCTGAGTGTCCTTTGCCTGACTGCAAATGAAAATTAAGCCAGGAATCTCTGTCCTGAGCTGTTTTAACGGCATTTAGATGTTTATTATAATTTTCTGAGCAGAGGCACTGGTGCAGTGTGTGCTGAGGGGCTGGGATGGATCATTGCAATGACCGATTCCATCCTTCCCTCCCCACCCATCCCTGTGACACAGCACTGCCCTTGCTTCTGCAGTGCTCAAAAAGAACCTTTCTGCCTCTGTTCAGAAGAATTTCCCCTTGGTCTGAATAATTTCCTTCTGTCCATCTGTCCGGCTGAAGCACTCCCTGTCTCACAGTGGGATGTCCGTGCTGAAAAAAGAGAAAAAAAAATAAAAGAAAAAGAGATAGAAGCTAGGACACAACACTGGTACTGAGCACGCAAAGAGGAGTTTAAACTAGCAGCGGGTATTTTGTATTTTTATATTTCCCCAAGTCAGCTCTGGGATGCTCGTGTGGGGCAAGGGCCGGGCCCTGGAGCCCTACGGAGCTGCTACGGGGCTCTGGAAAAGGAAGGGAGGCTGCGGGGCGGGAATTCACCAACTGGGAGAGCTCCATAGCAAAAAACAGAGAAGAGGGCTGTGGGTGCGGTCACAGCAGTAACCCAGCCGTGTACCGGCCCGGCCCGGCCCGGCCGTGTGCCAGCCCCGCTCACCCTCACAGCGCCCGGCTCTGTATCAGCCCCGCTCACCCTCACGGCACCCGGCTCTGTATCAGCCCCGCTCACCCTCACGGCACCCTCAGCCCCGCGGCCGCCGCTCCGCCCAGCACAGCCCGGCCCGGCCCCTCTTCCTTCCGGGCTCGGTCCCGCCCCGGAGGTGCCGGCCGCCCTTCCGCCGAAGCCGAGGGAGGGCCGGAGGGGCTGAGGGAGGGCCCGAGCAGCGCCGGGGCCGTGAGGGGCTGCGGCGGCGGCAGCAGCGCAGCGGAGCGGCCGGGCCGGCCCCGCCGCCCGGGGCAGCCGGTGAGAGCCGCGGGGTGAGGGCCCGGCGGGGTCGGGGACAGCGGGGGCGGCCGCGTCCCCCCGGTTATAGCTGGAACCGAGGGTCGGGGCTCGGTGTCTGCCCCCCCGAGGGGCTTCATACCGGCCCCGCTGCCGCCTTGGGCCTGGGCGAGGGGGCCCTGGGCCCCACAGGGCGGCAGGAATCGGGATAAACAAACATCGGGATATGCGGGAACTTGGCAACCCGCCTTCCTCCTCCTAAAAGTGATTTTTATTAGGTGTACATGTAAATGTTCCTTCGGTGGGGCTGTGCCGGTGTTACCGGGGTGCAGGTGGCGCTGACAGCTTTGCCACCATGCCCCCCCAGCCTGTTTTCCTCATGAGCTCCTTGTGGATCAAGGAGTTCTTGGCTTTTTTTTTGTAAGTATTGCCGCTGCCCGGCTGAGGATTAAAGTCCTTTAAACTCCAGCCGGGGGAAGTTTAGAGCATTTTTAAGGTGCTGAGCGGTGCTGCTGTGGGTGTTTGCCCTCCTCCATGTGCAGCTCCTAAAGCTAATTTTTGTTATCTCTGTATTTAATTAATTCCGTGGCTCTGTGCCTGTAGCTAACAGGGTGCAGGTGTCACTGGTAGCTTTACCAACAGTCCCCCACCCTAGCCTGTTTCCCTGATGAGTTCCTTGCGGATCAATGAGGTTTTGGCTTTTTTCCTGTAAGTATTGTCCCTGCCTGGCTCCTCACTGCACAGCTGAGGATCAAAGTCCTTTAAAGTGAAGCCAGGTGAAGTGTGGAGAGCACTCAAGATGCTGAGCATTGCATGTTGGATGATTTTTGTGGGTGTTTGTCGCTGCTGTGGAGCTCAGGTTGTTCCCTTGAAGCAGGGAGTGGCTCAGGCAGGGTGTGAGATCCTCAGAGATGAATGATGTGCTTGAATTTCCAAAGGAATTCTCTCAGGGGTGGCTCAGTGCCGTCTGAAATCCTGCTGGGATGGGCTGCTGAGAAGGTTTTACAGGCGAAATTAAATTGGTTTTTGTTTGGCTGAGTGGGGCCCAGTGCTGGGAGTTAGCAGCGCTGAACAATTTAGGTG